CGCACATACACGCGCACATACACGCGCACGCACATACACACGCACTGCACATACACGCGCACATACACGCGCACATACACCTGCACATACACCTGCACATACACGCGCACGTACACCACACATACACGCACACATACACGCGCGCACGTACACCTGCACAACACGCACCATACACGCACACGTACACGCGCACATACACGCACACGCCACATACATACACGCACACATACACGCACATACACCTGCGCACATACANGACGTGTGAATGATCAACATTTACACATATCATTAATGACCGCGGTGCAGCGTTTACGGCTAAAGGCTAATAGCGCTAGTTTCTTTACTCTCTCGTCGTGATGAGTCGGTCGTGATCGAAGCGGCTCTTCGATCCGGCTCTTTGATCCGGCTCTTTGAAGCGACCGACAGGAGCCTGATCCTTATTGGGAGTCGTGTTTTCTCTTTCTCTCACTTTTTTTCTCTTCACGTCGCGTTCAGACTCGTGGGAGTTTGACAGCGACAGCGGCCGAAAACAAAACTTTCAAAAATCTGCGTGTGCATAGGATAAAAAAACATGCATAAATATATTCTGCATAAAATAAATAAACCAGGACTAATCTTGGGCTCAAGAGACGGAGAGACACAGAGACCGAGTCCAGACACTCAGTCCTGGTTCAGTTGTGGTTCAGTCCTGGTTCAGTCCTGGTTCAGTTCTGTTTTAGTCCTTTGACATTTCATGTAAAGAGGCAGAAGAACAATAAATGTTTCCTAAATAAACCCAGTTTAAAATCCACCAGAACCAAACCTAAGTTTTTTTTATATAATTCAAGATTTACAGTGAATTTTTACATCACTAAATATATCGGTGATTATATCGGCAGCGCCAACTCCCAGCATATCGGTTTCATATCGGCCGCAACAAAATCCATATCGGTCGGGCTCTGGTCTTGATCGGTTTCTGTTCATCCTGTGAAAAGTTTCTGAATTGGCAAAATTATCGTCAATGTTTTTGGGACACACTGTTCATAAAAACATAACAACATGCATTAATTCAGATGCCCTTCCATCATCTCCATGGAGACAAACAGGGGACAGACTTTTAATGAGTAAAGTTCCGCAGTGCAGCTTTAAGTCCAGTGTGTTTTGTTCAGAGACTCACCCACACAGAGGACGACTCTTCTTTATCTCGAAGAACTGAGTCCCAGTGTGATTGTACCTGACACACGACTCAAGGACAAACACACATGTGTGACAGGTCCCCCCTCCTCGAGTGTGACAGGTCCCCTCTCCTCCCCGAGTGTGACAGGTCCCCCCTCCTCCCCGAGTGTGACAGGTCCCCCCTCCTCCCCGAGTGTGACAGGTCCCCCTCCCTCCCGAGTGTGACAGGTCCCCCCTCCTCCCCGAGTGTGACAGGTCCCCCTCCTCCCCGAGTGTGTCAGGTCCCCCTCCCCAAGTGTGACAGGTCCCCCCTCCTCCCCGAGTGTGTCAGGTCCCTCCTCCCCCGAGTGTGACAGGTCCCCCCTCCTCCCCGAGTGTGACAGGTCCCTCCTCCCCAGGTCCCCCTCCTCCCGAGTTGTCAGGTCCTCCTCCCGAGTGAGGGTGTGAAGGTCCCTCCTCCTCCCCAGTGTGTCAGGTCCCTCCTCCCCGAGTGTGTCAGGTCCCCCCTCCTCCCCAAGTGTGACAGGTCCCCCTCCTCCCCAAGTGTGACAGGTCCCCCCTCCTCCCCAAGTGTGGACAGTCCCTCCTCCCCGAGTGTGTCAGGTCCCTCCTCCCAAGGTGTGACAGGTCCCCCTCCTCCCAGTGTGACAGGTCCCCCCTCCTCCCAAGTGTGACAGGTCCCCCTCCTCCCCGAGTGTGACAGGTCCCCCCTCCTCCTCGAGTGTGTCAGGTCCCCCCTCCTCCCCGAGTGTGACAGGTCCCCCCTCCTCCTCGAGTGTGTCAGTCCCCTCCTCCCGAGTGTGTCAGGTCCCCCTCCTCCCCAAGTGTCAGGTCCCTCCTCCCGTGTGTGTCAGGTCCTCCTGTGTGACAGGTCCCCCCTCCTCCCCGAGTGTGTCAGGTCCCTCCTCCCAGGTGTGTGTGACAGTCCCCCTCCTCCCCAGTGTGGTGTCAGGTCCCCTCTGTGTGTGTCAGGTCCCTCCTCGTGTGTGTCAGTCCCTCCTCCTCGTGTGTGTCAGGTTCCTCTGTGTGTGTCAGGTCCCCCTCGTGTGTGTCAGGTCCCTCTGTGTGTGTCAGGTCCCTCCTCGTGTGTGTCAGGTCCCTTCGTGTGTGTCAGGTCCCTCTGTGTGTGTCAGGTCCTCTCGTGTGTGTCAGGTCCTCTGTGTGTGTCAGGTCCCTCTGTGTGTGTCCAGGTCCCTCTGTGTGTGTCTCCCTCTGTGTGTCAGGTCCCTCTGTGTGTCAGGTCCCTCTCGTCCTCGTGTGTGTCAGGTCCCTCTCGTGTGTGTCAGGTCCCTCTCGTGTGTGTCAGGTCCCTCTGTGTGTCAGTCCCTCTCGTGTGTGTCAGGTCCCTCTCGTGTGTGTCAGGTCCCTCTCGTGTGTGTCAGGTCCCTCTCGTGTGTGTCAGGTCCCTCTGTGTGAAGGATACTGTAGAGTTTTCATGTAGTTCTGGACGGCGATGAGCCAGTCGGCGATCGACATGGACGGTTTGAAGTTTGGCACCGACGGAACCGGAGGCTGTGACACACACACACACACACACACACACACAGAACACACACACACACACACACACACACACACACACACACACACACACACACACACAGACACACACACACACACACACACACACACAGACACACACACACACACACACACACACACACACACACACACACACACACACACACACACACACACGGGTAAACAACAGATTTTTCTTTCAGATTCTGTGACATTTTAAATCACAATATTGATATAAAACCACTCAGAAACAACAGCGACTAAACCAGGACTAAACCAGGACTAAACCAGGACTAAACCAGGACTAAACCAGGACTAAACCAGGACAAACCAAGGACTAAACCAGGACTAAACCAGGACTGAACCAGGACTAAACCAGGACTAAACCATGTGTAGACCAGGATGAATCTAAACCAGGGGTGTCAGACTTGCGGCCCGGGGGCCAACTGAGGCCCTCGGAAGGATTTTTTTGCAGCCCTCCACTTAATTCCAAAGAATAATGTCAGTGTGTAGACGTACGCACAGTCCCTCCCCCGACCGCGGGACACAGACAGATGAAGCTGCAGTCGGTGCCCAGTTTACATCCCAAAACTCAACTTACAGCAGCTGTGAAGCAACGAGTCTAAGTGGATCTGTTAACACGAGTACACACACGTACACACGTACACACACACGCACACACGCACACGCACACATACACGCACACGTACACGCACACATACACGCACACGTACACGCACACGTACACGCACACGTACACGCACACGCACACGCACACGTACACACATACACGCACACGTACACGCACACGTACACGTACACGCACACGTACACGCACACATACACGCACACGTACACGTACACGCACACATACACGCACACATACACGCACACGTACACGCACACACACACGCACACGTACACACATACACGCACACGTACACGCACACATACACGCACACATACACGCACACGTACACACACGTACACGCACGTACACGCACACATACACACATACACGCACACGCACGTACACGCACACACACACACACGTACACGCACACATACACGCGCACATACACCTGCACATACACGCACACATACACACGTACACACATACACGCACACATACACGCACACGTACACCTGCACATACACCCGCACGTACACGCGCACATACACCGCACAGCACATACACGCGCACATACACCGCACGTACACCACATACACCGCACATACACGCACATACACACGCGCACATACACCTGCACGTACACATGCACATACACGCGCACATACACCTGCACGTACACCCGCGCACGTACACGCGCACATACACCTGCACGTACACGCACACATACACGCACACGTACACCCGCACATACACCTGCACACATACATACACCGCGCACATACACCTGCACATACACCTGCACATACACGCGCACATACACGCGCACATACACCTGCACATACACACGCACGTACACGCGCACATGCACATACACCTGCACACACCTGCACATACACCTGCACATACACCTGCACATACACGCGCACATACACCTGCACATACACCTGCACATACACCTGCACATACACCATACACGCGCACATACACGCACATACACACATACACCTGCACATACACCTGCACATACACCTGCACATACACCTGCACATACACCTGCACATACACCTGCACATACACCGCACATACACCTGCACATACACCTGCACATACACGTACACCTGCACATACACCTGCACATACACACTACACGCGCACATACACCTGCACATACACCTGCACATACACCTGCACATACACACATACACCTGCACATACACACATACACCTGCACATACACCTGCACATACACCTGCACATACACCTGCACATACACCTGCACATACACCGCACATACACCTGCACATACACCTGCACATACACCTGCACATACACGCGCACATACACCGCACATACACCTGCACATACACCTGCACATACACGCTGCACACACACTGCACATACACCTGCACATACACCTGCACATACACCTGCACATACACGCGCACATACACCTGCACATACACCTGCATACATGCACATACACCTGCACATACACCTGCACATACACCTGCACATACACGCGCACATACACACCTGCACATACACCTGCACATACACCTGCACATACACCTGCACATACACCTACACCTGCACATAGCCTCACTCAGACTTTATCTAATGTGGCCTCCAGGTCGTGTGAGTTCGAGACCTGAGCTAAAGGCTCCAGGTGAAAAACTCAGATTCTGAACACAGATTTTAAAACTCTGAACGTTGTTTCCAGTTTTTTTCTTTCTTTCTTTCAGTGTTTTTCTCTCGAGTCGTTTGGTTTCATCAAATCGTCTGTTTTCTGTTGTAAAAAACACAAAAAACACAAAAGACACAAAAGACACAAAAGAGCCACATGAGACTTTCTCTGACTCTGTTTCTCTGTTGGATTAAACTGGATCCTCAAACATTAAGCTTTTATTTTATTTATTTTATTATTTATGTTTCTATTTTATTTTGACTTGTACATTTACATTTATATAATTCTGTTTTATTTCACACGCGTCTCTGGCTCTTTTTTGCTTCTTATTTTGGTCAGGTCTGTGGAGAGGAGAGCGGAGTCAGTCGGGTCAGGTCTGTGGAGAGAGAGTCTGGTCAGTCAGGTCTGTGGAGAGGAGAGCGGGTCAGTCGGAGCGGGTCAGTCAGGTCAGGTCTTGGAGGAGAGTCAGCGGGTCAGTCAGGTCAGGTCTGTGGAGAGGAGAGCGGTCAGTCGGTCAGTCTGTGGAGAGGAGCGGGTCAGGTCTGTGGAGAGGAGAGCGGGTCAGTCGGGTCAGGTCTGTGGAGAGGAGAGCGGGTCAGTCAGGTCAGGTCTGTGGAGAGGAGAGCGGGTCAGTCAGGTCAGGTCTGTGGAGAGGAGAGCGGGTCAGTCGGGTCAGTCAGGTCAGGTCTGTGGAGAGGAGAGCGGGTCAGTCAGGTCAGGTCTGTGGAGAGGAGAGCGGTCAGTCGGGTCAGGTCTGTGGAGAGGAGAGCCGGTCAGTCAGGTCTGTGGAGAGGAGAGCGGGTCAGTCAGGTCAGTCAGGTCAGTCGGGTCAGTCAGGTGCAGGTTTTTGTTTTTCAGATTCTGCTGATGTTTGAGTCGAGATTTTGGCAAAAAGAAGGAAAATTCTGTTTTAATCTGAACCAAACTGAAGACAGATGAGAGAGAGAGAGCAGAGAGAGAGAGAGAGAGAGAGAGAGAGAGAGAGAGAGAGAGAGAGAGGGAGGAGAGGGAGGAGAGAGGGAGAGAGGAGGGAGGGATGAGTGGATGGGGGATGGGAGGATGAGTGGGATGAGTAAAACGGAAGGAAAAGCCACTTCCTCTGAGTTTATTTACAGCGAAAACAACAGCTGCAGCGGAAAAGAACGAAAGAACCGACTGAAAGAAAGAAAGAACAGACGGAAGGACTGAAAGAGAAGAAATCTGACACAGAGAGAGAGAAGAGAGAGAGAAAAGAGAGAGAGAGAGAAGAGACAAGAGAGAGGGAGAAGAGAGAGAGAGAGAGAGAGAGAGAGAGAGAGAGAGAGAGAGAGAAGAGAGAGAGAAGAGAGGAGAGAGAGAAGAGACAAAGAGAGGGAGAAGAGAGAGCAGAGAGAGAGAGAAGAAGAGAGAGAAAAGAGAAAGAGGGAGAGGAAGGAAGAGAGAGAATGAACTTCACAGCAGAACAGAGAGAATCTGACAGAGATGGAGGGAGAGAGAGAGAGAGAGAGGAGTAGATGAAGAGAGAGAGAGGAGAGTCTCTAGTCTGTCTCTCTCTCTCTCTCTCTCTCTCTCTCTCTCCTTCCTTTTCACTCTCTCCTTTTCTTTTCTCTTTGTTTTCAGGGGAAATCCAGTCTCGTCTAAACTCTCACCTGACGTCATCTCACAACCTGCTCCAAACCAGAACTAAACCAGGACTAAACCAGGACTAAACCAGGACTAAACCAGGACTAAACCAGGACTAAACCAGAAACTAAACCAGAACTCTAGACCAGGACAAACCAGGACTAGACCAGGACGAGACCAGGACTCAGGATAAACCAGGACTAGACCAGGACTAAACCAGGACTAAACCAGGACTAAAACCAGGACTAAACCAGGACTAAACCAGGACTAGACCAAGACCAGGACTAGACCACGAGACCAGGAAAAAACCAGGAAACCAGGACTAAACCAGGACTAGACCAGACAGGACTAGACGAGACCAGGACTAAACCAGGACTAAACCAGGACTAGACCAGGACAGAGGACAGACAGGAGACCAGGACTAAACCAGGACAAAACCAGGACTAAACCAGGACTAGACCAAACCAAGTCTACACCAGGATCAAACTAAAGGCTCCAGATGAAATTCTCATTCATCCTGAAGTTTTTTCCAGCCCCTTTCTGTCCTCTGATACAGAACCAAGACCAAGACCAGGACCAGAGCCAGGACCAAGACCACCAGAGCCAGGACCAAGACCAGACCAGGACCAGGACCAGAGCCAGGACCAAGACCAGAGCCAGGACCAGGACCAGAGCCAGGACCAGGACCAGGACCAGGACCAGGACCAGAGCCAGACCAGGACCAGGACCAGAGCCAAGACCAGAGACAGGACCAGGACCAGAACCAGGACTAACCAGGACTAGAGCCAGGACTAGAGCCAGGACTAGAGCCAGGACTAGAGCCAAGATCAGGACCAGGACCGGAGCCAAGATCAGGACCAGAATCAGGACCAAAACCAAGACTAGGACTAGGACCAGAGCAAAGATCAGGACCAGGACCAGGACCAGGGCCAGGACCAGGGCCAGGACCAGGGCCAGGACCAGGACCAGGACCAGGACCAGAGTCAAGATCAGGACCAGAATTAGTACCAGGACCAGGACCAAGACCAGGACCAGGACCAGGACCAGAGTCAAGATCAGGACCAGGACCAG